AGAACTAGGAGTATTTCTACTCCCCCCTGGATGGGATGCTGGTCCATCACAGGTTATCCCCCAACATTACTGTCACTGGTACCCATTTATACCCCGGGGAGGAGAGAGACACTGTGAGAGTAATGTGTCTTGCCTAAAAACACAACACGGATACAGTGGTTTCAATAATAGCTGGGTAGCAGGTAGAACTACCCGCCTGTGACGACCTGAATACCCACCTGAAGACGGTTCGATTGGTGTAAAATAAAATGCAGCTCAGTACAGCAATTCATGCTAATATGTCCTAAAATTTATTGAAAATGGATCCCTGTTTAATAAACCAGGGAGCCTCCAATATCGCCCCAGAATGCAGGAAAATGCATCTCCGAGTAATGAATTTCAAAATTTTCCAGTGGAGCATGCCCCCAGACCTCCCCTACTTGGGAGGGCCTTCGGCCCCTCCAATTAAAATATCTACCTGCTTGCTATGTTTCATCTACCCATCTGAAATAAATGTTATTGAAATCGCTGACTGATAAATACCAAAGATAGTCTGTTGTGGCTGTAATGTCTCAGTTTAGTCATTTTCAAATCTTGAGAAAAGTATTATATACCATCAACACTGTAGTCCATTCATAATATAGCTGCATGGATGCAAGCCACTATAACTTGTTACTGACATAAATGTAGGTGAAATCAGCTTACCTCTCTCGTCGAAGTTTGATTCTTCATGCAAGAACTTCTTCCTTGAAGTCATACCTCTTTCTTGACAGACCAGCATCTTGCTTTGGATCATTCATCCCAATCAAGCATAACAGCCACTCTCGTACCTACAGAAGGAGAATTAGTTAATTACTTATTGTAACTAAAATTTCCACAACAAGTAATGACAGTTACATACTGCTTGTGGCAGAAGCTAATATTTTACAGCTCCATTTCAGAGTTCATTACAGGGTTATACATATAATATGTTGTGGTTCAAATTTTTCTTTGGTTTGAAGTTTCATCTCCGTTTCCCTTTGTCTGAGATTATTATAATGAATTTCAGACTCTGAAAAATAAAAATGAAACTGGTCTAGAAAGAAATTTCAAACCAAACACGGTGGGCACAGAGTGACTCAAAATCGCTCAAGTTCGCCATTTGTTTTGTTCATTGGCATTGGCGCCTAATTTCGCCTAATTTCAAAATGGCGGCTAATTTTTCAGTAGAAGAAGTGGTCGAAATAGTTGCAAGGGAGGAAGAAATGGACGTTCATGTCCAAGACGAAGCAAGTGAAGAGGTCACTTTGACTGAAAGAATTACAGAGTGCCTAAAGGAGGCTGGAGATGCCAGCATAGACGTTGATTTTTTTGTCGACGCTAGCGTGTCAATGCTTGTTCCACTGTACGATCTAAGTCGGCGAAGAGTTGCAGGTTTACCTGTAGAAGCCTCCCAGATCCCTAACACCCAGATTAGAGTGGGTACCATCATGAGGTCGGAGTCCAGGTTATGGCTGGAGGCCATTAACGGACATCTTGCCGGACGACGACGGGTAAGGAACCCATTCCAAAGCGAAATTGTCCAGGACATCCCCTATGCGGTTTTTCGCATGTTACTGAGAGTAACAAAGTCTACAGAGGGCTTTGCCGAGCCATTCGTATCTTTTGGTGCCAACAAAACGGCAGAAACAATTTCGTTTTCTTCATTAAGACCCGCCAAACAGCTGCTTTCAATGCTTTCCGGCCTGATGGAGCAAGAAGTTGTGCAATACTTCAAGAGGACTCTCACAGGGAAGAAAGCTGGCAGTAAAGTTAATGTCATCGCATCAGAAGAGAAAAAAATGATTTTTGTTTACAAGTTAACCAAAGGCCAACTTGTTATTGCCTTCCACTTTGGGGAGTGGAATACATATGGCCTTCCCCAACATAATTAGATTATGCAAGTGAATACATTGTATATGAAAGAACATATATTTGAACTGTGGAGAAAGATATGAAGATATGATTGATCATCTGCGATACTGGTGCAGTGCTCTACCAACTGAGCTGTCAAGCCAACTGGGAGCTAATCACGTTGTGAGTTCCATAGCTGGTGAAGATGCAAGTGACTATATAAAAGACCATATATTTGAGAGAAAGATATGAAGACATGATTCATCATCGCAGCTTTTTACACAACTTAAGCAGTTGTGAAATTTACACGTTATTTTTTCTAGGCTTAAATTTCACAACTGCTTAAGAATGCATATGTATAAGCAATAATCAATGATCAATCGTGTCTTCATAATTAGATTATGTTGATAATACGTTGGCTTGCAGAAGTGCATGATTCCTTATATGGAGGAGGGGGTAGTGGCGGGTTCACCACACCTTGTAGGGGTGTAAAGTGGAGTGTTTTGGTTCCACTGTTACAGACTTGGCAGTCTTTTTATGAATAAAGAAAGAGTTGTAAAGAAGTAGTGTAAGACTGACCTAACAAATTATGGAAACGCCTGGGTGTTTTGGCTCCTGCGGGGTAGGCACTCCCATATGAAATGGGCAGGGGTGCTTGAATGCTCAAATTATCCCTTTTTTCCATATTAGATATAAGATAATCAAACTGAGACCAAATAAAATAAAATGCCAAGTACTTTTTATTTACCCTTTTCCTAGAGCTAAAACACCTTTTGCTTAACGATAATACCTTTCACATCTCACTGTATTGTTGAGAAATTATCTTTAGCAATAAACATCAAGCTAAAAATCTCTGAATTGTGTTGGCCATCAAGGCATAATTATTAACAATAATCAACAGCTTACACGTTTGCTGCTGTTGATAAATGCTATGTTAAAAATTGAAAGAACAGCTAAGATCTTAATTTGTGCTGTTGCCTCAATAAAAATCAAGCTACAAATGTCTGATCTGTGTAACTGTTCAACAGTATACATGTTGTACGTCAAAATGAAATTCAGGTGAAAATGATCTTAATCTAGTTTGATTCTCACTAGCCCTAATTATTCATGACCATGAATAACTAGGGTTAAGAGACAAAGGAATTTCATTTTGACCTACAACATACACATTTACTGTATGCTGTTATTAATAAATACTGAGTTAAAAATTAAACAGCTAAGATTTTAAAAAAAGCTGTTGTCTTAATAAATATCAAGCTATGAATGCCTGCCATTTGTTCAACAAACACATTCTCTCTATGCTGTTATTAATAAATACTAAGTTAAAAATTAAACAGCCAAGATTTTAAATTGAGCGGTTGTCTTAATAAATATCACACTAAAATTGTCCAACCTGTGTTCCATTTAAAGGTATATTTAACCAATAGCTTATGCATTAAGACAGGCCAGGAAAAACCAAGGTCCAATTACCCAGGAAAAGTAATTTTTGCTCTTGAGCAAGTGAAAATGGAAGTTTGGTTGTCCAGTGGGCAAGTAAAATTAGCCTCAGTAGTTTTGTTAGTGATAATTGCCAATCAAAACCAAAATGAGCAAAATAATGAGTTGAAAGCATGGATTACATTGTAAGTTAAAGTCCAAGCATACTATTAATGAATAAATAGTTGATTATAGACTGAGACACTACCTGGTAAATGATGTAGTTGTTCAGGCATGAAACATTACATGCCTACTGGTTAACTAATAATTTAGAGTGGGCAACTAAAAACTGAAATGTACTGGCCCACTGGACAACTGGGTTTCAAACTTTTTCCCGTGCCCAGTGAGATTGAAAAAAACTTCCTCTGTTAGATAATCTCTCAATGATTATATCCATTTAATGCTTTCACTCGGCTGTTAAAACATACAAATGGTGAAAGCAAAAAGTACATATCCTCTAAATTCAAATTCACTGTAACCAAGGAGATCACCAGTTGATGTTTTTAATAAGGGCCACCAACAAAGCATATAAAAAAGCCAGATTGAGCCAGAGCTGCTGTACCTTTTAAGAACCAAGTGGTAAGACAGTCGTACAGCATATGAATCAGTTTGGTTTGGTAGATTTGAATTAAGTATGACAAATCCCATGGCACCATACACTGTACAACAGAGTTTCCTGTATTATACAGGACATGACACAACATCTGATTGACAGGCTGCACTGCTTCACTTGCCAATCCAAAGGCATAAAGCACTATAATGTTTGTTCTGCAAATCACGCCATGGTCGAACCTTATTGTTTTGGGTACAGCACCTCTGGTTACAGGGCTTCAATGACTTAATAAGCATTTCATATAGTTCTAGTATTCAAAGGCTGTGCATATAAATTTGTAGTTGAAAGGGAGATGGGAAGGGGGTGAAATTAAACAAAAGGCCTGGAGTAATTTTATCCCTTGGTCATTTTATGACCTTGCTCACCACAAGTCTTCCATAGCTCAGTGGTTATAACATCTGACCGGTATTTCTGGAAGGGCATGGCTTCAAATCCCTTTGGGGGCTCAAAAAATTCTTTTCTGAGTATTTCGACTTGAGAACACTTCTCCATTATTTTCATTTTATCCCTTTAAAAACATCTTAATTTTGGTCTGTTTTTTTTTTGTACAAGTTCAGGACAAACCACACGATGCCCAGACAACTTCAACACCAGTGACCTTTTGTATTCCACGATTTAAATCACTTGTTCAGGTTTATATTACCACAAAATATTAAATGGCCAATATAAACCAAAGCTTGTACCTTAGGCACTATGCTTTGTTCTTCTTGCAGTTCAAAAATGGTGAAGTCCATGATTTGAGTGTTTCGTGCATGTCATTTTACTGAAACACTTGGTACAAACAACTACTGTCTAAATTAAGTTCTTCCCTCTCTGAACACTTAACTCAATTTTGGTTCGTACATCACTGGAACAAAATCTGCACTTCTCATTGGAAAAACCTTTCTCCAACCCACAATAACAGACAGCTGGATCTGAATTGCTCACCTGTTTGGGAATATACGAAAGGGTAGAAAAATTAGCATTACAACAATTGTAGCCCTTTGCTCTCAACCACTCAAGAGAAACAAATTCGTGTAAAATGATCTGTTGCCATCTAGAGTGAAACATTGTGTTTTGGCTATATTTGGAAATAAACACGTTTGGCCTCTCGCCCTTCCATTGAGTTGAGACCAAGGCCAAACCCATACTTTTCCTTCTTGTGCTGGGTATGGGCAGGGACAAAGTGACCAATGGTCCAAACTGTGGGGTTAACATAAAAGAAAACAGCATTAGCTCTAAAATAGTTTGTGCACAGGGTCTTCAGTTCACTTACTTCCTCATCTGAAATAGCTAAGCGGCTGAAAAGAGAGACAGTCCCTAAGACAAAGACAAATGTATGCAATAAATGGAGAATTGTGGTCTCTCTACCAGCACTAGCTCTGCTTTCAACGGCAGCAATCAATGACATAAAATGCAACAAAAATAGCCTAGAATCCTTCCCAGTAAAGCGGTAGTCAAATGATTTGCCATTCGCTTTTGTGTCATCGAACCATTTGGTGACTTTTTTTGCCAACCTGGATAAGCCACATGCACTCATGGCTGCAATGTACCTCTTGAATGGTGAATGTGCAGGCACCTGAGAAAAAGAATTAATTTCATCACTTAGTTTAGACATTGCAATGACTTCGCTAAGAAGTTGCTGATGGGCACGTGCACAGGCGTTGTTCTTCAGGTGCAGTGGATCCACATGTGCATGGTCAATTAGTTTGCCTACAACTGGCTCAAATTCCTGACGGCTATGTTTTTGAGCAATAAATGAAGTGACCTTTGCTCGACGAGTGGATGCAGCCATTTTTTTTTTCTCCAGTGACTTTTTAAATACATCAACCTGTTTAACCACCTTCATTCTGTTCTCATACTTCCATGGCTTCCACAATACCTTCCCATCTGTTCCAAAAGTCCCATCCAGTCTGGTCATTGTGTCACTGCTCACATCTGCAAAAGTTGAAAAGTAAGTTGCAGAATTTGAAAGTTCTCCAGCAAGAAAAGACAACATTTTCATGTCATTTGGGAGTTCGGAAATGCGAAATTTGACATCAACAGGGGTGCCATTGCAATTTACTGTAAAGGTGATCTTCTCTAAATCACTAATGTCATGCACAACCTTCTTTAAAAATCGTAACACAGGAACACAGTCCTCCTTACAATTCCCACCAAACAAAAGAAAATTTTCATTACTGCTGAGAACGCCTCTCCCTAAATTTAGAAAGTTGACCAGACAGGCAAATGCAGTGTCATCTTTTCCCGATGGTGGTCCATCCCCACCGAGAGAAACATGAAAGGTATTAACTTCATCTCCGAACCAAACCAGCTGATATCTGCTTTGAGAAAGATAAAATTCTGCAAGTGACAACAACAAAGGTTGGATATCACGGTATATACCATCCACTTTTTCTTCTTCATCAAGTCCATGACAAAGGGTCTCCCTTACACTGTGAAGTTGACCAATGTCAATAGACTTGATGAAGGGCATTAGCTTATTGTAAGGAACAAGCCTTGGGACAGGGCAGGAACTAACTGCAATACGCACAGCCTTTGAGCTACTTCGTTTGTAACTGCTATCCCTATATGTTGCACGGTACTTTCGTTTCCCCATTACTCCTCCACTATAGTACACTGCAATGCTTCTCAGTATATTTTCATCAGATGCTTCATACTTCGTTAAATTTTCTTTGTAAACTTTAGGTAGAACCTTCTTTTTTATCTTTTGACCTTTAGAAAAAACTTTTAACTAGTATGTCATTAGAACATTTTTTAACAGTTGTTTCGCAAAGGCCAACTTCTCCTGGGGTTCTGCAATTTGTTCCATGTCTCCCTCCATGGATCTGGCATGCTGCCTCAAACAACTCAGCTCTCCTCTTCCTATCTTGTGCCTGACTAAGGGGTGACGTTAGCACTGTTGGCATTTTTTGTCTTAACTTTATAGACTTCTCAGGGAGGTACATGTGCTTGGTGTCTCAAGCTCACAGCGTATTTCTTCTGTCTCCTCTAGCTGTCCAGCTACCTTGTTTACCTAAACATTGTGATGCTAACTATCAGTTTGAGGTATTCCTGAGAATGTGACAGTGGCGGTAAGATAAAAAACCAGCAGTATCCTGTCATTACCAGTATACCTGTAATGTACCCGGAATTTGTAGTTTGTAATATAGCAGGAAATTGTATAACGAACGCTGAGAACTCAACAATATTTTACTTCAAGTCTGTAAGCACATGGCAAGAAGAACCTACTGCGCATGTACGAAGCACATAAGGATTCATGGGATATGACAAATGCCCCCTCTTAAAGCAAAGGAAAGAAAAACTGAACCTGTTAATAAAACAAAGTAATGTACTGATTGGAACAAGTCCCAAAGTCACGAACACTTAAGTTTGCTAAAGACTAGTAGAACCTCTGAGGCGGTTTACGCTCTCTGAGAGGGTATCTCCGTTCTGGTTGCTCAGGCGCTGATGCTGGAAGTTCTGAATCTCGCACAGATGAGTCCTGTGGTGAAGAAAAAGCATCAGCCACGCTATCCAAGGCTGGAGTGTCAAGTACAGGTGTAGCCTCTTCAGGCTGTGAAAGAGTTGGTGTTGTAACAGGCCCTTCCCTCACTACTGGGGTGAACCCTTCAGTTTGCTCAGGTAGCTGGGGCGCACGAACTAACTCTGACCCTAGTGTGGAAGGTATGAATCGTGGACGTAATTGCTCTTGATGTCGTTTCCAGATAATGTCTCCGACCTGAACCTCAAAATTCCGGGGACTGACTGTTCCAACAATGGTTCCTGGAATCCATTTGGCTCCTTTGCCAAAATTACGCACAAAAACTGCTTGGTTTGGTGTAAACTGGGGTTTGTTATCAAGGTTGTCTTGAAAAACCTTAACTTCCTATTTAGAACTCTTGGTTCTCAGTGCACTGAATCTAATTCTAGGCTGCCTGTTCATAAGTAATTCTGAGGGTGATTTCCCTAACGTGGTGGGTGTAGCCCTGTAAGTCAACAAAAACCTGTCTAATTTTGTTTGCACAGACTCACCGGTATCTCCAATCTTGCCCAGTTTATCCTTAAATTCACCCACATAGCGTTCTGCTAACCCATTTGTAGCAGGATGTCCGGGAGCAGTGAGAGTATGAAGGATGTCGTTTTCTCTTAGAAATTTCTGGAATTCATCACTCGTAAACTGAGTCCCATTGTCCATTACCAGATGTTCTGGTAAACCAAAGTAACTAAAAATGTGTCTCAAAGCAGTAATAGTGTGCTGGTGGCATGAGTCATGGGTACTATCTCCAAAAATTTGGAATAAGCATCCACCACAACCAAAAACATCTCGCCAAGATAAGGCCCAGCAAAATCTACATGTAATCGTTTCCATGGTCCGCCTGGCCAGGACCATGAAGCAGTTGTGGCGGATGCTGGCAATTTAGCAGATTCTTGACAAGCAGGACATAATTTAACTGTCTCCTCAATTTGCTTATCAAGTCCAGGCCACCAGAAGTATTTTCGAGCTAATTGTTTCATTTTGACCATACCCAGGTGTTCTGCTTGCAAATCGGCCAATAAGAGAGCCTGTAACGACTCTGGTACAACAACTCGCGAGTTCCACAGGAGGTTACCATCTTCATGAGAGAGTTCAAGTCTTTTGCTGTAGTAAGGTTGGAACACTGGTTCCAGATTATTGGGCCAACCCTGCTGAGTAAACTGTAACACCTTTCCAAGAACTGGGTCTCTCATGGTTTCCATAGCAACCACGGACGCATTTAAAAACTGGTCTTCTTCGATAAACATCACATTTACAGTTACCTGTTCTGCAGCAGACTGCTTGTATTCAATAGGTTTCCTAGACAAAAAATCTGCAAACACATTGTCGTTGCCACTTATGAATTCAATTGTATAGTCATAAGCAGCTAAAAGTAATGCCCATCTTTTGATCCTTGCTGCTGCCAACAGGGGTACGGGCTTGTGTTCCCCAAGTAAAGTAATCAAAGGTTTATGATCTGTTAGGAGTTTGAAGTGTCTACCTAACAGGTACTGGCGATATTTGGTCACGCCAAAAATAATTGCTAATGACTCACGTTCAATTTGGGAGTAATTTTGTTCTGCATTGTTCAGTATCCTCGATGCATAGGCAACAGGTTGTAATGCACCACCAGGTCCAGGTTGCAGTAACGCAGCTCCCACACCCACTGAAGAAGCATCACACTATAGAACTAATTCAGCCATAGGATCATAGTGACGTGAAACCGAATCGGAGCACAGGGCAGCCTTGATGTTATCAAAAGAGTCCTGTTCCAGTTTTGACCATCTCCATGGTACCTCCTTGCGAAGTAATCCGTACAAAGGTGAAGCCAACTTTGCAAAATCCGGCACAAATTTACAAAGAAAATTGGCTGATCCAAGGAATGACTGTAATTCAGAAACATTTGTTGGAGGTGCTGCATCCTTGATTGCTTGCACTTTCTCTGCAGTCGGTGAAATCCCTGCAGCAGAAATGGTAGTACCAAGATACTCTACTTTATCCAGCATGAAAAAGAATTTATCAGGGTTAAGCTTAAGACCGCAGTCCTGTAATCGAGTTAGTACTCGTTGAAGGTTTTCCAGATGGACTTCATCAGTTTCTCCGGAAATAAGGATGTCATCAATACGGACATAGCAGCCTGGAAGGTCCTTAAGGACATTTTCTATAGTGCGTTGGAAGATTGACACAGCACTGCTCACTCCAAAAGTCAGGGGCTTGTATTGGTATAAGCCCAAATGAGTGTTAATTGTGGGGTATTTTCTGCTTTCTGGCGTAAGCTCTAGTTGATGGTAAGCTTGAGAAAGGTCAATCTTAGTGAATTTTTTTCCCCCAGATAATGTACTCAGTAGTTCCTCCAGAGTTGGTATGGGGTATTGTTCTAAGACTGAAAATTTGTTGATGGTGACAGAGTAGTCCCCACAAATTCTCAGGTCCCCATTTGCTTTAACAATAGGGACTGTAGGTGATGCCCACTCGGAATGCTCTACTTTCTCGATGATATCCTCTGCCACCAATTTCTCCAAGGCCTTTTCGTACTTAGACTGAATTGCAAATGGTACTACTCGTGCTTTGGTAAACACAGGGCTTTCATCACTTACACGCAATGACACTTGGATTCCTTTAAGTTTTCCCACTGAACTAGTGTCAAACAAATCAGAGTACTGCTGAACTATATCCTCAGCTGCAGTTGAAATCGTACTAAAAATGTTCTGCCAAGGTAATGTAAACTTGGACATCATGTCCCGCCCCAGTAGTGATGGTCCCTGAACTACACGAATTAACAGGGTACCCACCTGGTCTCCAACTTTGACATCCATTTCCTTCTCACCTAGACACTGGATAAGGTCCCCAGTATAGCTTTTCAAAAGCACTGTAGGGGGTTTGAGTGTAGTTACTTGTCCTCCGGTTTTGGTAAAATCAGCAGAACTCAACAATGTCACAGAACTGCCCGTATCAACTTCCATAGGGACTTCCTGGTCTTCAATGGTAACGGTAAGTTTGTATAAGGGCGGTGTAAATGATGAATTTTCAGAAGATTTCACACTTTTCATATAAACTGTACAAGAAGGGACTGGATTCTCGTGCTCCTCCTTAGTACATGTTCCTGATGTTGGAGCAGCTATTACTTGGTGAGTGGTGTTGTTACCACCAAATTCTTTCTTTTTCTTGAAGCATGCCTTAGCCAAATGCCCAGGCTTCCCACAGTAATTACATGTAGATTCGACATGACTGCACTTGTCAGCCAAATGCTGTGGAGAGCCACACCGAAAACACTGCTTTCCTCCCATTTTTGACTTAGGATCTGTTTGCCTTTGGCTTCCTTTAGCAGAAAAAGATTTCTTGTGAACAGCATTTACAGGCAGAATTCCAGCACTCGAAGTGTCGGAGTTGCCCTGGAGTAACTTAGATTCCTTCTCAGCCAGTTCATCGGCCTGAGCGACCTTGAGAGCTTGATCGAATGTCCTATCTTCAGAAAGTAGTTTCTTTTTAGTAGTCTGACTTCTCACTCCCCCAACAAATTGATCTCTGAGGGCTCTTGTAAGGTAAGGACCAAAATTGCAGTGAACAGCTAAGCGTTTTAGCTTGTTTGCATACTCCGTTACGCTTTCAGTTTCACTTTGTACAGTGTGATGGAAGCGGTAGGTCTCGGCAACTTCAAGTACCTTAGGTTTGTAGTAGTCTTTCAGAATTTGTGTAAGCTGATCGTAAGTTTTATCAGCGGGTAAATCAGGAAGACAGAGATCTTTGAGCGTACTGTAAGCGGTTTTACCGATCAAGGAGATTGTAACGGCGACCTTTTTCTTGTCTGCCTCTCGTTTAGCTGCTTCGCTGGCGTCTTCTGCAACTTGACCGATGTTATGTGCAATGAAATAGGCATTCAAACGTTCACTGTAATCCGTAAAGTCAGCTCCATCGAATGGTTCCAAAGTGCCAAATTGCTGTGTAGTCATCGCTGGCACCTTAAGTCTTCATCCTCGTCGCCAGTTTGTAATGTACCCGGAATTTGTAGTTTGTAATATAGCAGGAAATTGTATAACGAACGCTGAGAACTCAACAATATTTTACTTGAAGTCTGTAAGCACATGGCAAGAAGAACCTACTACGCATGTACGAAGCACATAAGGATTCATGGGATATGACAATACCAGGCACCTTCAGCTAACTACCTAGATCTCCCTTGTCCGTGGAATCTGAGAATTTCTCTAGAACATGTGGGGCAGGGTGATTAGAGGGAGGAAAGAAGGAGACTAGCAGTATATAGATTCACCCAGTTGTAGGACACTGGGTTAATATCTACACGTATGGGAGAACTACATCAATCAAGCAGCATAGTTGAAGCTGAGTACTCCATGAAGCTCCAAAAAATTAACATGAGTGAAAATACATGACTTTTTTTCACATCACTTACATTTACTAGACCCTTATCATAAATGGAGGCTAATTTAAAATTATTTTGTATGCATTTAAATTAAACTAACCTCATTTGAGAGTAAAAATTCTTTTGAATTATAAACTTCAAAATGAGGATAGTACAGGAAATGTTAATACCTGCAAAATAATTTATAATTGGCCCAATTTATGAGAATGATCTATATTGTGCTCAAAAAATTACTGTATCCTATGACACACTTTCAGACAGCAGTCACAACATTGCCATTACCTTTGTTTCGAAACGCCTCAACCTTTCCTCTTTTGCCTTCAGTTCTTTCTCCTTTTCTTTAATCTTTTCATCATTTGCCATCAGCTCCATATTTAGAATTTTAATCTTATCACAGTGTTCCACAGCTTGCTCCCTCTTAGACTTCTGCAAACGCATGAATGATCCCACTTGGAACCTACTGTTTTTTCGTTTTCTTGCGCCAGATGTGTACATGTTGGCAATGATCAAGAATCTGGGAGGCTTCTACAGGCAAACCTGCAACTCCTCGCTGAGTTAGATCGTACAGTGGGACAAGAATTGACACGTCAGTGTTAACAACAACAACAACAACAACAACAAAAAACAATGTCTATGCTAGCATCTCCAACCTCCTTTAGACTTAGGTCATACAGTGGGACAAGCATTGACATGCCGGTAAACTAGATGCAATAAAAAGTAAGCGCATATAAGTATCACAATTTGAAACTAATGACACAGGATGTGTCATGGTACCTGACTGAAATGTGGTACTGATTCAAATGTTGAATTTATGCTGTGTTGAACCAACAGTAGACATTATCCATATACGAATTGCATGCAGCATACATAAATCCGATCTGTCCTGAACTTCTATTGAACTCAGCCAAATTAAACTAGGCCTTGTATAGGGACAAGTTACAACCGTTTATACACCAGCCACAATTGTTTACTTTTGCTATATATTCAATTACGCTAAAAATAGTTCTTAAGCATAAAAAGCGTAAGCTCGCACGATAAACAAAATCAAGTTAAACTGCAGAAACGTACCAAGTTACCGTATTTCATATATTCATGCCATTCATTTTATAGCTTACGCTTATTTATTTTTTATTACTCGTAATCACGCGTGAGAAAACTCGCAGTCGGTAAGCTGCCTGGCCATCTCAGAGCAGTTGGTCTGTTTGGCAATACTTGCAAAATTACACAGTCAAACTTCAGTGAGCCCTCAGGGCGCACGCTTCTTTCTCAAAAAACTAAAAACATACGATCAACCTTTGACCCACTGTTAATGCTATGAAAGTAAAATAAAAGACATTTTAACAGAAACAGATGAAAATGAATAGAGGCAAAAGAAGACACCTTTTCGAATCAGAGAAATCAGGACAAAAAGAGACACAAAAAACACAGCCGTGATGTCTAGAACAACAAAGAAACGTACCCATGTTTGGTAGCAAACGAAAGATCTTGAATCCCTCTTCAAGATTGCTTCCCGGTATTTAGCTTCCAACCTCAGAGGGCGATCTGGGAAGGACTAAAAGAACGTCATTTGATGCAATATAAATTCATACCCAGTCTTCTACAAAAAGGGCCTGGTCCAATATGGCAACCAGCCACGCGGATGGCGCACGATTGTGAGTCATTGTGTGCCCACCGTGAAAGAAAAAAACATGTTTTAATATCTTATAATTAGCATTTTAGCAAAGGTTTGCTTGTTTCATACACAACCAAATTATTACTCTGTTGAGACAATGCATCATGTTAGATTGAAATTACATCGATCACATAAATTATACATTCATCTTAAGAGGTAATAGTATATCTATGACAAACCTTACTTTGTCTAACTTGCCAAGATTCCTAAATATTCTCATCCAGTCAATTGCTGTCATGACACCATGCTGCCAGACTTTTGAATCTTTGTTAACCTCCTCGAGGTTTGCATCCATACACTCTCCTTTGCTAGGATTTCCAGACTTGCTTATTGATTCAGTCCTCGAGACAAATTCAGAAAGCTCTGGGGGAAATGAAGCTCTATCCACACTAAGAATCAAGCTGCCAGACTTTTGAATCTTTGTTAACCTCCTCGAGGTTTGCATCCATACACTCTCCTTTGCTAGGATTTCCAGACGTGCTTATTGATTCAGTCCTCGAGACAAATTCAGCAAGCTTGGGGGAAATGAAGCTCTATCCACTCTAAGAATCAAAGAAAATAATAGCACTCTCATTGGAACTGCCACAATCTCAAGAAGGGTCTTAAATATTTCGAGGTTACATGTTAGTTTTATTCAAGGAATTATAGAAAAAACTGCCAATGTTTCCATAGAAAACTTATAGAGAAGTTATAAATGATTGCAATAATAATTTTATTATCTAGTTAAGGAGGGAAGTTACTAAGTTTTTTCAACTAACCCAAGCCTAACATGGTGCAAATATTTTAATATATTTTATACATGGCTCATAAATTCAAACATAAATACTATTATGCATGCTTTTCTAAAATGAAGAAGATGTCATTCTTGAACACTGAATGTAGTTTGCCTGTCACACAAGAATGCAGGAACCATTAATTTTATTGACAAAGCATGAAACCTGCTGATCTGGCATGACATTGTACCCATTCCGCATTCAGCGTGTGAGAGTTTTATTTCTTACTTCTTTTAAAAGCTCAGCTAGCAAGAAAACCACTGTAACAATAAAATGTAGCAGTCATTACTAACCTGTCATGCAAGTCTATGAGCACGTATTTGGAAACACCATTTCTATGGAACAGCGGAGCAAAGGCCATATGCCCAGCTCGAATATACTCTGCATTGTTCCTTCTGACACCCACATGAAGTAAATTGATTCCCATTAAGTATGACCAGGTAGTGTTGAAGATGTACCTTTAGTTGGGCTTGGTCCAACCAACTTTAACTAACCAGTCATACAAAAAGTCATTTACTGACAGTGGTGTCCCAGATGCAAGGCGGCTACGTACATAAGGTACAAGAAGTTCATACCAGAATCCAAGGTGGGCCACTTTCAAAATAGACATTGTTTTGTGATGATCAGAGCATTTTTTGACAAACTTCTGAGCTGCTTCAGAATTAAACCCCAACTCTTTGGCCAGATCACACATGAACACATCCCAGTAAAGGCTAGTGAGTGACTTTGCCATGTTCATTTCCAAGTGCAGTTTTCCAATGCGCAATAACACCCAGTCGAACTCTTGAACGAACTTAACCCTGCGGCCCCTGTGTTCATCAGCACGATGTTCATCTTGCTCTGTTTTGAGAACCTCTTCTTCACAATCACAACACAAATAGACGGTGTCACAGTTCTACTGACCAAATATGGGGATCCATCCATGGTGACACTCAACCATTTGCATGCATTTGGTTTGTCTGGATGATATCTAGAAATGGAAGCAGCATGTCCTACCCGCCTGAGGACTTCTTTAGTGGAATCAAATGAATTGGGGTTAACAAACACTGGGTCGCAAGTTTGCACCTTGATAGGATTTGCTGGATGCCTACTTGGGACATCAGTCCATTCATTCTGAGTTTCCCAGGTCTCGTCATTGTTGTAAACAAATGCCTTATCTTCTTAAATTTGGAACCCAAGTGATGTTTCATGGACTCTGTGATGATAAGTGCGGATAGGGGCAACAAGTGCAGTCCCAAGGATGTCAGTGCCATTGGCTTCCCTTTCAGCACTTCTCAAACTGACTCGGCACTCTTGATTAATGCATTTGCGCTTTGTCTTTGGCATGCTGGTGTTGCATACAGGGCACACACGCATCTCTGCAACCCTCATGTCAATGGCATCTGTCCAGCTGCCTTCAGAATTTGTCTGCTCTCTCACAACTTTGTGGAGGATGCCATGAATCATTTTCTTATTCTAGAAAACCAAGAAACAACAAAAGTGATAATATAAATATGATGTGCATCCTGATTAATAAACTCAGTTTCTTACAGATAAGTAACAAATGAAAACATTCTTTATTAACGAGTTACATGTACTTCTTTCTATTAGCTCCTTACGTAAGAGCATGACATCCTCATTGTTGGCAGAACAATCTTGGACAAGTTGCATTTCCCTCAGTGGGTCATTTTTGGCCTCTGCTAATCTGTCAGGCCATTTGCTGTTAGCAAAATAATGATTAAATAATTACTTTGCCAGAATACACAAACTGTGTAAACAATATTAAGATACAGTACGGTACTTTGTTATAATATAGGCAGAAATTGACTAGATATATATATGCCACTGGATAAGCAAAAATATAATGATAAATTGGGAGTTTGATTTAATTGGGATAAAATTACAGCCATGTGAGGAAAGCCTAAGGGAAGTGTATTTTTTAACTGACAAATCGGGGATAATTATTAAGCAATTGAAGGTACTCAAAGAACCAAGGATTCGTGGCTGCACTTAACATACATGTACTAAGTAATATTATTTGGAATAAAGAATCAATGCATGTAATTGGGGTAGCAAAATTGATATGCAGTTTTCCAAGGCCAAACTCTATCTGAGTTTCGTTTGAAATGACTTTGTATAACCAAAGAAAAATACTTCAAGGCAACTTTTAAATTCCTAAAATGAAATTTGAATAGAGGTGAATAATAATTACTTTAACCCTATATCTTACACAATTTACATGTACCTTGGTGCAAGCCTTTCATTTCTTTGTAGAACAGGGTCCATGGAACCAACCTCTGCACAGCAGACACTTGTTAGTATACTTATTTGTGCATGATTGTCCTTGCGCACGGTCCACCTTTTTAGTAGAACTTGGTCGTTGTCTATTGCAGTTAATATGTCATTCTCAGGCATCATGGGGATTTCCATTGTTAATCCATCAAGCCATGACCTCATAGTTTTGTATTGTCCACCTGGATGCAGTTTTCCATATATGTTAACTGCCATTTTGCTGCGTGCAGTGGAGTACATAACCAAGTTAGCTCCAAACATTATTGGACTAATAAAGTTCGGCTTCACCAAACTGTACATCTGATCAACAGCCGTAACCTTTTTGACAGGTTTTGTACCGCTCAACCCATTGACCACACTTTTAAGGACAACATTTTGTGACATAAGCCAGGATTCAGGTGTCACTGTCAGCAAATCACAAATGCTCTTGTAACTTAGGTCGCAATTGTCAGCTTGCAAGTTTTCTCTCTCAAGGGAAAAGATAGCTTCAACTAATTTCAATAGTAGCTGTCTATCAATGTTTTTCAGTGATGAAAATATGTCTTTTTTATCAATGAAGACAAGACCAAAACGGGAGCAAAGATCGCGACATAATGCTCTTGCTAATTCCTCATCAATAAGATGCAAATTCTCTGATATGATGCTATAAATGTCACAAGAAGCTTTCTCATACTCATCTTCTTCTTCCCCACTTGCAGTGTCACTTCCACTTGCCACTTCAACACGTTTCCTTTTCTTAATCAGACCTGGTCTCCCTACTTTTTTGTTGCAAATGCATGAGCTTTCTTCTGTGTGAGGCTTCCAAGAACATGGAGTATTACTCAAAGCAGAAATAGGTTCTTCTCTTGAAGCTGACTCTCTTAAGCGATAAAAATGTCTCACACATGACAGACAAACACATGGTGGATGTATGAAGTCATTGTCTTCTTCAATAACAATGCCATAACCTGTTGCAAACTCATTCTTGAAGTTATCTTTGGCTTTAGCACTTTTTAATTTGGTGGTCTTGCCACAAAATCGACAAAGGTTTGCTATTTTCCTTTTATGTTCATTAACTTTCATCTAAATTCCCAGTAGCAAGCACCAAAACCTATGGAGCACAACAAGCCAGTTAAGACAAAGAAGTCAGTCATACTTCTTTAAGGGCAGCATTTTCACAATGGCTAAATACAAAAAGGTCGACGCAAGGAACGAGAGATTCGAGTATAATGCCCTGTTCAAGCCTTAAACGGAGCATGCAACAACGTTAAAATTGCCCAGAATAATAAAAAGACAGATAACAGCAACGCCCTGTATTCTGTAGTTGCTCCGTTGAAAAGACAAAGTGGCGGCTACTAACAGAATTATACCGTAAATCAAGACCACCCCATGCACTTTTTCCTGGCAGTTTGCATTCGGACAAATAACAGTTGCATTGAAAGGGAAGAGTTCGAAGATCAACTCCATAATTTTTTTAACTGTGACAAAATTCTTTTACTAGCCTAAACTTAAAGGTAAAGTTGAAAAACGTACCTTATTTCAACGTGTTACTCCAACTGCCCTGTCACTTCTCGGGCAAAAATTTCGCTTCAATCATCCTATGATGAACGCCGTCTTTCTTGCACTTGAAGAACGGTGTCTATTTCACCAATCTCCAATAGACTTATGGGTACATAAGGCGAGCAATACCGAATAAAAAATGAAAAACACGAACAACGTACGAAAATCTCCGATTTCCGAAATGGCCGCCATGCTGTGACGTGACATGGTTATCAAATTTGATAACCATCCCGGACTGTTGAAGAGAAGAACAAATAATCTTTTTTGAACATAGACATAAGGCATATGAAATGGAGCAATAATGTTGTTAAGTTATTCCACCTTCCCAACTACTTTTGTCCATGATTGTAGGTGCTAGATAACCAGAACCTCATGAGCAGTCTCTTTCCTACATCTTTCAAAGCTGTTGTCTGTGGTGTAACTGGTGGCACCCTTGTATTCTTTTGCCACTACTTTGATTTCACTGTATTTTGCGACGAGGCATTTGCTGAAAGGCCCTGCTTCCAATAGGCTTTGATCCCAGCACTCACCTCAATTTTGATGGATTGAATTCTTTTTGGGCACTGCTACTTGCCTGATCGATGTTTGTGTGCAATGCTTCAGCTGTCTGCATTTTCCTTTTGAGGCGTTTGTTAATTCTGCTTTTTTCCGTATTCCAATTGACAGTGGCAGAAAACTCTCTCTCTGGCATCTCACTCTACACTGTTTTTTTTACTGCGTTTTGCGGGCTTTGTGCTTCAGCTCTGTCAGGCCTAATAACTAAGGTTTCATCCTTTTGCCTTTCTTTATTTCCAGAAACCCCAGTTTTCTTTCTTGTCTTGGAAGTCTTCTTACTTCTTTGTAGTGAATATTACGCTTTTTCTTTGTCCCACTATTTTCATCATGCGCTAATTCTTGCCGACGTCACTTCGATCTTTCTGAGAGTCATTCATTGTAGCTGAATCTTGATTTTGAACCGGATCTAAATGGCAATTACTGTGCTTAACCTTGGAACTGTAATGGCATTTGTATTGGATCTCAATTTCAATTGCTCGTCATCTTTTTTGTGACTCCAGTTTGAAATAGTTAGATGCAGCTTACCTCTCAAGCCTCTATTATTGATGACACAGATTTTTCACTGTCATATACCAAATGCAGCAAACAGTTCGACTTTTGGGCTACTGACAAATACTTGCTTTTCTAACAACTTGATCAATGTGGATCACATGACAATGATCAAAGTCATCCCTGACCTCCCAAACCTCCAGGTTGTGCAGCGATCTTCCTTCAGCATGAATGATTTTGAAATGATCTTCACAAAGGAAATGGCTGGCACCGCAATCGAGGCATCTTCCACTTACTGCTTGGTTGCATATGACGCACCTCCGAGAAATAGGCAATGCTTGCCTTGATACTGAAACTGTGATTAGTTGCTTCCAGGCAGTGAGCCAAGAGGGAGCAAAAAGCGGCTTTTCTCTCATGGTTAGCCTTCGTAATAATAATAATAATAATAATTGTTAACCAAGAGACTCTGACCTGGGTGATTTTCAGAGAGGTCCTGAAAATACACTTAAAACCTAAATGATCACAGAAGAACTATTAAAAAGAGTACAAAAGATATAAAACTTTTCAGAGTTAAACAACATTGAAAATAATTATAAATATTGCGCTTGAAAGACTTGAGGTTATTTGATTTTCTTAAACACAGATATAAAATGTTCCTGTTTTTAACAGCTTGATAATGGGTCCTTTGTTTTCCTTATTTTCTTCTTACACAGGGCCATCTGAAGTTATGTGTGTGTCGTATATTGTTGTGGTGTGCGTCTTTGCCAATAGCTGCAATAGGTTTATTCAGTGAAATGACTAGCTAGGAAAATAAAGGATTACCTACACTATCACTCCACCGACAAACCTCTCGACCACCAAACAAACCATCAAACAAAGGAAGGCCATTGGTGTGACAACTTAAACATAGGGAGCAATAACACCGGGCAATGCAAGAACCATCTCCGGAGCGACTAGGAGCTTACCCTCATCAGAAAACTTGAGATGACATTTGTATGCATTGGAAGCTCAAGCGCCATAAATCTAAAAAGTTTACCTGGGACTCAGTTTTGAAAGGCCCAAGTGGCCCCTCCATGACAAAACGTATGTCCCCTAAACCGAGAAGAGTTTGAAAAACCCATATGTGCTAGACCGGCTCAGAGGATCAAAACGAACTGAGATTTAGTAATAACCACGTAATAACTAGAGCGATAGGCTGCGAAAAAAGTGGGCGCCAATGCGGGTGCAGGTAAACGGGAACACATGTGAGGATATGTGCACATGGGACATAAAAAAGGATCAGGAGTATATGTTAAAAGAAGAGTAAATGGCTTGGTACCAGTCTGATGGGTTTTAGACCATATCATTAATAATGCGAAACAATTGATAACAATATCTTCCCAACAAAACTGCTTAGTAGGATTGAAAGAAGCGACAGAATGCAGAGCCAAATTAGAAATATGTGCACAAAGAAAAAAGGTAAATAGAAATGCTCAGGATAGAAACTAAATCATGATGGAAATGCGAAGCTTTCTCTACCAAAGCTCGGCGAAGGCATGATTGTGGGAGCACGTGAGGGACAATGTTTACTGATACGATCAAGGCCCTGTAAAGTTAATTTGACCTTGGGCTCATCATAAAAAGGGAACTCAAGACCCACGACAATGTGAAGAAGTTTAACCCCACTGACATAATTGCAAACCAAGAGGAGTCATGGAATGGCTAAGAAACTGACAGTACAAACACACAACGTTTATAGTTGCCGGTGGTGGTTCAAAGCCGAAATAAAAACAAAAGTAGAGGTAAGCTCTGCATTGGGTCTGGTGATTCTTGTGGGTATCCTCTGCATATGTTGCTCAGTACATCATTTTTAATATCTCTTTGCAACACTTTTTAATGAAGTGCCTACAAGACAAAAGGCAAAGAAAGAACGGAATTCTATGAAACGCAACGACTGAAACATGTGCAAAGGAAGGGAGACTGGTTGGAGATTGAGGGACCAGTAGTTAAAAACCAATGTGTTTTGTGATGCCACATTCAGATGCCCACGACTAAGTATAAAGTTGATGCCATGATTGTTGGCACTTCAAAGGTGACAAGCGCGTATTTCGAATTTCCAACCTGTTGAACACACGTCTTGATCTGACCCAGACCACATTTGTGTGGGAATAATAGAAACCCTGTTGTATGAACCACAACCACCAGCGGATATCTTTGAGGAATTCTGCTGTCAACTTAATCCGATGATGATTACGCCGCAAAGAACAGAAGAGATCCAAAATACATTAGAAACAAATGACCTGGACGAACACACTGAGCTAAAGCACACACTATACTTTATTTTCATATACATCATTTTGCCATCTCACCTGCAAAGAGCAAAAGCTAGACAAGACGGGCAAATTATGTGGATAAATAAGAATTACAGAAAAACAAGCTAAGTTACAAAATATATGGTCTTACAGATTTACTACTTACAGAACCTATCGATTATTAGTGCATTGAGTCGAGGATGCAGAATTTGCCATTTTTTGTAGGAGAATGGGCACTTCAACATAATCGTCCTCTGCTTCCATTATCGAGTGCAAAAATTCATGAAAATTTTTTTAAATGCTCCTTTGGAGAGTTGACGAAATTCGTTAGGAATTGCGTTCCAAAGTTTAGCTCCAAACCTGGAAAAAGAATCTTGATTTAGATTCAGTCTTGAAGTTTGGACATAATAATTTCAGATGAAGAAAACCTGGTCTCATGCTTGTGCTTTGAATTAGCTGTAGTGAAGAAATCACAGATGTTAGACGGAGCATTCATGCAGGAGACGTCAAACATTATAGATACTCTTTCAGCATATAACATTTGTAAGGGTAGAAAGGTTCAGAAAAATACATCAAACGAAAGCAAGAATTTTTTGTAAATGGGTTTTGGCAGGTTGACCCCAAGCCGCCAAACCATCTGTCAGATAAGGCAATATCCGTGATTGATAAATATTTAAAAGGGTTGTACGTGGGACGAAGTGCCTAAGATGGGCAACAACACCAACAGTTCTGCTTATTTTTAATGCAACATTATTAATTTGAAATTTCCAGCTTAAATTGCTGTCCAATAGGACGCCAAGATATTTAACATGGTTTTTGCACTGAAGCGTGGTAGAATTTTGAGTACAGTTATCAATCATTTCAATGTTAACCAAGTAGTTCAACTTACGTTGATATGGACGAAAGATAACATAGTTTGACTTTTTAGCATTGAGCATTAACTTATTTGCATTGAGCCAGTCGGGGACTTTAAGCAGTTCGCCCCTGACGGTTTTTTCAAGAGATTTCAAATTAGTGTTAGCATACAACAAGCTCGTGTCATCAGCAAAGAGATAGAATGAAAATTTCGCTATAGAGTTGTACATATCGTTAATATAGATTAAGAATAACAGAGGACCAAGCACAGACTGCTGTGGGACACCACATCAGATCATACATTCGGTAGATAAGTTAAAACCCACTTCCGTTACATGTGAACGACTGAGAAGATATGAGGCAAACCAGGCTATGATAATTCCTCTGATGCCATAATGATTAAGTTTTTGAAGCAAGATTAAAAGGTCGACGGTATCAAACGGCAGTAGAAAAATGACTCATTAAGGTAAGAAGCAGGAGCTCAAAATTAAATGTCCATCTTGGCTCCTGACAGCTGACCGCTGATTAGCTGCTGCCTTCTCTGACAGTTTGGAAACATAAAGGAGGTTGCTTACTGGGCGGAAGTTATTGAAAGCAATGTCAAGTCCACACTTTTTAAGCAGCGGTTTTAGTAAAGCCTCCTTCCAATCGCTAGCGAATTCACCAGATTCGAATGACAAGCTGATCATGTTCGTGATCACAGGTAACAGCACATCCAAAACCTCTAGGACTACCGAAGTAAGCATTGGATCCAGTGGACGTGATTTCTTGGCGGCTTTGTTGTTGAGCTCAGAGACTTGCTCTTGAGACAACGTTTTAAAATTGGCAAACGTGAGACCTAAACATGTATCAGAATCAGCGCACCCCTTTTCTTCAGCTTTTGACATCTCCAAAGAGCTCTGCATATCAATTAACTGATTAATTTTATTGATCTTCTGCATAAAGAAATACATGATATATGACTCCACTAGTCTTCTATCGTTCATGTTCTTGCTAAATGTAAAATGTGCACACAGTATTTGTCTCAAATCCATTTGATTGTTTGGTAAATGTCAATGCAACATAGGTCTTGCATAACTCACTAGACAGTGTGTAGGAATGAATTAGAATCCATTTAGTAATTCAAGAATATCAAGATGTAATTGCTCAGATAGGTCAAGTCTTTGTCATTGCTTAGCTGACTTTCAAGTTCAGGGCAGATGTAGTGCACAGTAGCCGTATAAATGACTGCCACTTTTCCTTTCTCTTTACAGTAGGAATGAAGAGAGCGATATTCTTGTCTTATCAAGAAGTGACCTCTTACTTCTTCAGCTGCTGGTGGAAAGCTTATGCCCCAGTCATCCTTAAATCTTTCTCGGTTTTGCTCTGAGCCATTTCCAGTTATTTTAAGTAAGTAATACTCTTACCCAGGATCACCAGAAGCAATAGCTACAACTGTATTCCTAATCAAGAGCTCCTCTATTGAAGATAGATTCTTTGCAGTTTCTGATCTTGTCATTCTGTTTCGCAGTTGACCTTCAGTCTGTAGTTGTAATGTTCGCCAACGCCAAGCAGAAACATAATCGGTGTTCTAGCAGGCTTCCTAGTGCTCACTGATACAGTTTCTGCAATAACAAGACAATAGGTGTGTCTGTATATTACATGAATGCTGTCCAGAAAGGACACTGGGTGTCATACGGTTTCCTCTGACTTCTTTGAAGTACTGTCCTCAATGATTTCTATTGACTTTCTCCACAAAGAAGAAAACTGGCCTTTAAAGTTGCACGTTTTTGGACTGGTTACATTTTCTGTTAACACACTCTTTGCGATGATAGCTATTGCTCTCTGCCTTAGCGTACATCCTCTTAACAATGACACTTCTACGAAATTCCATACAAGATTGAAAGACCGTTCGTATCTCAACATGAAGCCAACAACAGCAAGTAATTTTGTCTTGGCTCCTTGCGGCGCCTACGAAAAATGGTTTGCATCTTTCAAAACTTCTCTGACCCTTCTTAACTTCTGGATGCTTAGCTTTAATTTCTAGGTACGCTTCAGTCTGTGTTTTTTCCAACACTTGTTTTGCATCACAGGTATAGGTTCTTAATAATAATAATAATAATAATAATAATCAACTTTATTTAACGAGGGTAACACGGGACAGTACTTCAACTGAATAACTACTGGCCCTCAAACTAAAATTATAAAACAAAAATTAAGTGACAAAATACATATAGTTAACGAAAAAGAACTATACATATATGTATGGATAAGACTAAAAAGAGTAGAAAACTATATTACAATTATAAAGTATCCTTACAATGAATATCTACAAACTATAATTACAATAAGAGTACAGCTAGGATGGGTCAAGTGAAAGGAAGGTTGTGAAATGCCGGATTAGCCTAAAACTAAAGCTCAAATGATCAACGTCATTGTATCTCATTAATAAAAGACTATAAATAGCCTTTCTAAATGAGGTTACACATGTTCCTTTCTTAAGGTCAATGGGCAGAGAGTTCCAGAGCCTGGTCGCGGACACGCTAAAAGTTCTCCCTCCCTCAGATTCGTGATTATATCTGGGGCAGACGAGGTTTAAGGCACTGTACCACCCACTGCGTGTGTGTAAATCTGCATTGCATTTAAGAAGGTCAATGTAGCTGGGGCAGTTTCCTTTAAGGCGCTTAAGGACTAGCGAACACTTATTGACTTCAGCTTCGTCATAAAATGGGAGCCACCCTAATTTATTAAAGAGATTTACGCTATTTGATCTTGTGTCAGCTCCTAAAATTACTCAGGCAGCACGTTTTTGCAGCTTGACGATTCTTGTTAAGTTATCAGCTGAGCAGTTTGACCAAATAGTTGATCCATACAACATTACGTTTTTGATCATAGCATTGTAGTAAAGTATGCGCTGTTCAGTAGGGATGAATCTCCTTATCTTTCTAAAGGCTGGTTTAGAGTGGGAGTCAGAGTTGGAGTTGTAATCAGAAGCCTAGAGCTTATGATCTAGTGAAAACAGCGTTCCGATTCTGCTTACGACTCTGTCGCTTACGTTCCGAGTATGATCCAGTGAAAACCAGACTGTCGGAGTCGGAAGCAGAAGCGGTAGAATAAACCAATCACAATGCTCGGTCATAGTCCCGCCAAGTGGCACAAATTTTGGCGCCAATCGTGCCATACAGAAAAGAAAACATGGCCGACGTAGAAGAGCAGCTACTGCTGTGGGCTCTTCTGGTCATTATTTTGCGTCGGCAACGACGTCGGACAAATTTAAAACGAAGGAGAAAGCGTTTTTGGGTTTGAGGTATCTATCAACGTCGAGCAGCACAAGGAGAGTATGCGAACTTGGTGAGGGAATTGCGACTGGGAGATCGTGAATTTTATTTTCAGTAGGTGTTGTTCAATGTTCAATGTAAGCTTAATTTCTTAAACGTAGGTACATCAATATAACGTTGTTTAAATTTGCTATAGTTGCATGTATTTTGAGAATATAGTTACAGTAAATTCCTTACGTTTTAGGTACATACATATGACGCCTGAATGGTTTGAACACTTGCTCAGCTTAGTGGGACCCTTGATAACTAAAGTCAAAGTTAACCCTTCGATACTTAGCAAGCGGTGATGACCAGCAGAGTATCAGCTTCTTGTATAGAATTGGCAAAACAACGGTGAGTCACATTATCCAAGAGACACTCAATGCCATTTGGAAAGCATTAAAGGATAAATATGTAAGCCCTCCAAAATCCGCCACAGACTGGAAGAACATTTCAAGGGACTTTGAATCCGTTTGGCATCTGCCACACTGTATTGGGGCAATTGATGGGAAACACATCGCAATGCAATGTCCCAAAAACAGCGGGTCTTTGTATTTTAATTACAAGGGATGGTTCAGCATTGTGTTAATGGCTGTATGTGATGCAAGTTACAATTTCACCCTGGTCGGCATTGGCCAATACGGTAGTCCAAATGACAGTAGTGTGCTCAATAACTCTGAAATGGGAAAGGCCTTTGAAGATGGATCCATGTCACTACCCCAACCAGAGCATCTTCCAGGATGTGGCTTACCTCAACTCCCCTTTTACCTGGTAGGTGATGAAATCTTTGCACTTAAGCCCTGGTTACTGCAACCCTATCCAGGGAAAAATATTAGAGAGGAAGAGAGCATATTTAATTATCGTTTGTCTAGAGCCAGAAGGGTTATTGAGAACTGTTTTGGAATTCTTGTTGCAAGATGGAGAATCTTTTGCAGAGCAATTCAAGCAAAAGTTGAAACTGTCCAGGCAATTGTACAAGCAGCCATTTGTTTACACAACTACCTGAGACAGACACTGCTTCTTACTGTCCGGCTGGCTTCGTTGACAGCTTTGATGATTCAGGAAATATTCTGCCAGGAGAGTGGCACAGAATCACTTCAGCTGATGAAGATTCCAGTGCTCTTTGTAACCTACCTGCTGCGAGAGGAACCAGATATCGCAATTATGCTTTGGATGTCAGCGAGGCTTTGAAAGCCTATGTTAATTCAGACCAAGGTGCTGTTCCCTGGCAATGGGATTACATTTGTAAACGAGGTCCCATCCATGAACCCTAGGTTTACCGAGGACATTATATCAGATCTATATCCCCATGTAAATCTTGTATTAGCCTTCAATGTCTGTGACGAACCCTTTTCCTTGTAATCTCCTCCCCCCCCCCCCCAATCACACAACCTATAACTTAGGGGAGAAGATAATCAAGTGTTTAATATTATTAATAAAGTCCAAGATCACATTGAGATTCCAGGTACAAAGCAAGTAAGACCTAAATAGACTCTGGACAAAAATGGCCTCTACTGTTGTCAAGGCAGTATTGGCAATAAATCAGTGTATAAATAAATGCAGAGGCAAAAAATTAAAGAAAACTTATTTTCAGCTGTCATTTTTGCATTTAGTTCAATTTAGAACATGTTTAAGTGTAGGAGTTTAGATCTTTCAGGGGTAATATTATTTATTGTAAGAACAGTTTTCAAGTCAATTTTAACTTAACTACATGGCCTTGTATAACTGGTAAACTGGAATCTCTGTAAGACTTACACAATGTACACACACAAAAAAGCTGGTACACTATATACCAAGTAAATAGGAAGTTTTGAGTTACGTCACAAAGAACACAATGACGACACAATAACACAATAAAATTCACTCAGTGAAATGCCACAATAGTGCATATATTGACTTTGTATATCGACCATCATTCCAAAAAAGGACTGATGGAATTTCTCATCAACTTTAATATAAATCTTTTTAGGCGATTTTACTTGACCCGTGAAACAGTTAATAACAACTAGTGCAAAATAGTTACAAATAAACAAAAGAAGACAATAGAATTAGTGCATAATATTCTACTACTTATTTCATGGGTTAAGGAAAATCACTCTAATGTTGGTATCACCATAATACCAGTACTTGATACTGTTGATACACAATACAACTTGAAGGTATGTCAGAAGACATCCAAAGGGTATAGGTAGATGCCTTTTTTTTTGCATTCAAGTTGGTAAATAATAAGAATTATGTTGCTTATCTATTGTTCACTTAAGTGTTTCAGTCTTCCATGTTCATTAGGTCATAGTTAATTGAGTGGAATGGTTATGAAACCCGTCAGACTCCTTTGTTATATGTTTTTGTGGACCTGAAAGTGCACAACGTTCAAAAGAATTCCTATCATTTTGATTGTATTGACCAATAAAAACGTTGCATTAATTTATTCCGTAACAATTTGCCAACAGAAAACAAAGGATTGTGCACTTTCACGGTGCTTTGAACATAAACTGCAGCACTGTTGTTTTTATCATTGATGTTTGCCGCTTTTCATAACCAGTCTCCTCTAATAACTATGATTAGGTCAACTTCAAACGTTATTCAATTTTTTCAAAATGTTTTCTTAAGTTTCATAATTATTCCATTTACAATATAAACAAACGTTTTCAAATACTCTTGACATGTAGAAGCAATGCTATTGAGTCTTATTCCCGTTGAACATGTTCATTATGCTAGGGCTGTAACAACAATGTTTAGATTTTAAATCACTGTTGTATAGTCACTTGTTATCATTTTGCTTGGCTGTACTACAGAGTTAACCCAACAGCATTGTGTGGATCATTGCCTATCCCAGTTAAAAGTGTGTTGAGTTACATACCATCTTCCTTTTTATTGTTCAATTCATGAAAAACCATAATACTTTTAAATGTTAATGTGTGGGCACAACATCAATGGGCATAATTAATACAAAATACCGGTAAGAGACTGGAATAATTATTATTAAAGTCTTGGTTAGAACAGCACCAATAAGTTCTGAGTACATACAGAAGGGTTGAACTAATACACAGCTTTTTCCTGAGATAAACTGATCTTGAGAGTTAAGTTTTAAAAGAAGCAGGGAGTAGGCTTCTGAACTCCAAGACAACTACATTATAATGAAGCTGGCATCACTACCTGTTGTCACACTTGTATATGTTACATGTCAAATTTGATCTTCAATTTATTGTCTCCAACTAGGAAACAAAGGAATCAACCCTGGTTAAATCACGGGTTACATCGAGATTTACCTGAAATACCATTTGACCTGTAACACATAATTTTTGAGAAGCTAACAAAATAGCACAGGGATTTCTTGCCAAGCAAAAAAACTGCAATTAAACACCCAGGGTTATCTCATGCACTTACCCAAACCTGCACTTTGAGGAGTATTGTGATATACCATAAGAGGCCTATAGTTTTTAACAACAACCAACATTGTGAAACTAAGATATATGAAATACATAATTTAACAACTCTGAGAAAACCATGGCAAATCAAACAAAAAGAACAAACCCATGCTTAAAGTTATTTAAGTACTCTTACTGTAACACTGATCTTCTGTTATATTATCAAGATATCCCATCTGTGACTTATTGTGGTAGAAAAGTTGCCCAGGTTTAAGGACTGTATGTTCCTCTGAAGATTCATTGCTCGGAACATAAAATGGCCGCTTTTGCATCTGATTCTTATCCTGGAAATTGTGATGATGTTGAGGTTGATACTGTTGATGCTGTAGTGGTTGATACATCTCAACCTGAATTTGGCCTTGAGTGAAAGGTGCTGGTGCTGGTGTAGATGGTGACTGGAATTTGGCTAGCATTTCCTGGTACAAAATATTCGAAACTTGCATTTTGACCATCGCTTTCCTTTCTGGTAGTAATTGCCTCATTTGGGAGGCAATCAATTCCCCGAACAGTTCATCTTCATCTTTAGTACTTGCATTTGGCACTTGCATTTGCTTCTGTCCAAGAGCATCACCAAGGGACTGAAGAACTTGGACTTCTGCCATTGTAACATCATCATGAACTTTTGCCATAGTTTTCTTTTTTGATGGTAACTTCACTTTTTTGATTGATCAGAAGTTGTTCGATGCTGAGAAACCGTCTGCATCACTTGCTGTTGTCTCAGTGCTGTCAGATTTGTCATCAACATTTTGGATTTCATCATCTTCTGATGCCTCATTTCCTGAGTCAACAATGGTCACATTTCAACTTGTTTTCCTGGGTTTATAAAATGGATCAAGCCAAGACAGGAACAAAAACATATCGTCAACCTCATCTTTCACTTTTGCTACATCGTCAGACCCACTGCCACTAACTCTGGCCTTCTGCAATTTCTTCCTGTCACGAGTGTATCCAGCTCTCAGATTAGTAAAATAGTTTTGCGCCTCCTCCCCTAAAAAAACGAAAGTTAAGGTAAATGTTGGGTAAGACATCAGTCAATTCCAGCTACACCCCTTTTTTTCCCTGCAGGGTAACTGCAAGGTATTTCTGAGTGCTCTCCTTTCATCTCCACCACAGGGTGTTTGTCATTTTTCCAGCCCCTGGGAATTTGTCATTCCAGTCATAAAATGCTTATACCTGGGGGTTAACTCAAAAAAG